TGGCCACCCTTCAGACCTACCGAGGTCAAAAAGGGGCGTGAAGCTCGATGACTCTTTGCCTCATTTTGGGGTTGAAGAGGAACTTCTTGCAGCAAGAGAGCCAGAAAAGGAACCTGGGGACGAGCCGCTAACCTCTGAAGATGAGGAGTGGACCCCCTCATTGCGTGAAAAGCTTCAGCAAGAAGCTAACTCCGAAAAGCATCAGTTGACGCACTTTCCTAAGTTTGCAGGAGGGCCAAGATGACCGCAAAGGTTCACCGCAAAAGGGGTCTGGAAATAGATCCGGAGGAAACACCTCCTTTGCATTTTGGCCACAAACTCAGAGCAGATCATATGATCACGGGCTTGTCAAAAGGGTCAGATGGGGAAAGCTGTTGTTTGGTAGTCTTAGATGACTATTCAGGTGCGTTTGCCGCGTATCCGCAAACTAAGCGGGACACCGATAGCAACATCAGGTGTCTTCAGCACTTTGGAGGAACCAGAGCTCATGGTAAGGCACTGTGTCAGGTCAAAACCGACTGTGCAGAAGAGCTCAGTGCCGTAGAGTACCTTGGATGGCTTCCAGATCCTAGTGTTCCAAATGATCAGATCCACAATCCAGTCACGGAAAGGAAGATCAGGAGCATTAAGGAAGCCGCTAGAGCTGTTCAGTTGAAGTCTGGTTTGCCTCACCAGTTTTGGCCAAGAAGTGTTGAGTACGTGTGCGCCGCATTAGCCGTGTCTACAAATGCGGCAATCCATCCAAATGATTCGGATGATGTCAAGAGTCTCAAAGCCACTCAGAATGCATATGAAGCCGCGAGCGGCGGTGACGCCTTCACAGGTTTGAAGCTGCCGTTTGGTTGCCTGGTGTTTTACAAGCCGCCCAAGCATCGAGAGCTTCCGGACTTCGAGCCGAGGACATACCCCGGCATATTCGTTGGCTGGAGGATCGACGCAGGGTACAAATTTAGGGGCATACACCTCGTCCTAGACTTTGAGTCGCTTCGCAAAAACACTCAAGGTTGTGGTAAGCCAATCCAAGTTTACGAAACAGAATTGGTCGAACCTTCAAATGGACATTGGGTTTTCTTTTTGAGGCAGAGCAACAAAGGCTTCAGCTGTTCAGTGCGAAATCAACCCCACCATCCATTTCAACCAGGAAGGCTTTGCCATTTGACGATGAAGTCCCAGATCCTGTCCCTAGGAGAAAACGAACCTATGTGACGTTGGAGAGGGCCATCAAATTTGGTAGAACCCCGGGTTGCAAAGGGTGTGAAAGGATCTCGGAAGGAGTACCGCACTCCGATGCATGTCACGACAGATTCCGTGTTCTCCTCGAGGATGAGAGGCTGGCACAGGAGGCCAAGGCTAAGGCCCGGGAAGAGGCAGCAGCAAGGGGGATACCGATGCCTCCGACTCCTGCTTCGCGGGGTACACCGGTACCTCGTACTCCTGGATCTGGCCCAGCACCTTCGACACCAGTTCCGCCCACTCCAGCAGCAGTCATCACGCTAACCCAAAGGACCAGTGAAGCACCGATGCTCCTGGTACCACCGCCGTCGACTCTTGTCACAACTGTTCTTTTCAAGACTCTAAAAACAAAGGGCCAAGATCAGACGTCAAGGGGGCAAAGTCTTTGGTTGAGGGCAACTCCGAAACCAAGGATTATTGGGAGTTTGATGAAGCAAGGCACGCATGGGTACTAGTGCATTTAAGACCTAGGAAAAGGCTATTTGCACCAGTGGGTAAGGATTGTCCTTTCGCCTCCAATGAGGTTGAGCCGGAACGCATCACCGAGTGGAGATGTAAGGGGAAGGTTTCCGTGCATAGGGACAACTGGCAAGAGACTCCGTATCACAGGATTTCATCCAAAAGTTGGTTTGGTAAGACGTGGTTCTTTCCGAAAGGACGTGTGTCGCCAGATCAAGCGCAATTGTGTGCAGCCGCAGCCAACCCTTCAGACGGTAATCTCAGAGCTATGCAAAGGTTCATCGAGCAAGCCGGTGACAGCCAAGCACGAACTAGGAAGGCCAGAGAAATCCTTGAACTCACTAAGGACTTGGTCAAGCCTGCACGTGAAGACCGCAAAGGTCGATCGGCGAATCCGACACTCTTTGAGTTTTGTTGCGATGAGAACAACGTTGGGTCAGATCAACGAAGAAAGAGGAATCAACCAGTTCCGACTCACAGCAAAGAACTCTGACATGTCAAGCCAGTGGGAAAATGACAGTCTTTTGAAGGTCATAGAACAATTTCCCGGGTGTGATTTGTGGGGATCGATTCCTTGCGGCCCCTGGTCGCAATGGCAGAATGTAAATCTCCATCAATACGGAAAACCGTTTGCTAAGAAACTCAAGAAAATGCGCAAGCATTCTAGAAAAATTCTAGCAAACTACATTCGTTGTGCAGACAAAGTCCTCAGTCAAGGGGGCCACGTTGCCTTCGAGTGGCCGAAGACATGTGCCGGATGGGACTTGCCAGAGCTGATCAGGTTTGTCAAGAGGCATGACTTGTTTGTGGCGGAACCTCAAGGTTGCGCATTTGGACTCTGTGACCAAGAAGGTAAATGTCACCTCAAGACGTGGAGAGTTGTAACCTCTTCACGGAGGTTGGCTAAAAACCTAGACAGTGCCAAGTGCCAACATCCGCGTGACTATAAGCATTCACCTCTTGCAGGCAGTAAGACACCTAGAAGTGCCTTTTACCCGATGCCTATGGCAAGGTGCATTTCTCAGTCCTTATATCCCTGGATTGACGCACCGCCTGCAATGCCTGTGCAAGTGTCAGCTGGGCCAAAGTCCGTGCAAGAGTTCCTGTGTGGCGACCACGCCCCAGAGGACGAAGCAAGTCATCAGGAGCTGCCAGGAGTAGAACATGTGTTTGCTGGCATCCACAAGTTGTTGGAGAGAAAAGAATGGGGTAACTTTCCTGGAGCGCAAGACGCCATTGACAATGAAGTGAATGGGCTAGTAGCTAACGGAACCTGGACTTTCGATGAGGTAATCTCAAAAGAGGACCTTTTTGGCAAGATGTAAAAGGAACAAGGAGCATATCAACATTGCTTCCCTAATGACCATCTTGTCGATAAAGCATTGGGAAACCCCAGAACTCCGTAAACTCAAAGCCAGGATAGTTTTCCGAGGGGATCACATCCTCACGGAAGACAACAATCTTGCGGTGCTCCAAGAAGCAAAAGTCACTCCGACCGGAATGACCGGTGTCAACATCAATCTAGCATACGGCGCCATCAAGGGTCACGAAACTCGTCAATCAGACGTAGTAAAAGCCTACACCCAAGCGTACCTTGGGACAAAGGTGCCCACATGGGTGATCTTGCCTTGGGAATTGACTCCTCCTGAATACCGGCACTTCAAACAGCCGTGTGTGAGGTTGGTCAGGAGCCTTTATGGCCATCCCGAATCAGGATACCACTGGGATCAAAGGCTAAGGGAAGTGATGAAACTTTTGGAAGGTCAACATGTTGATGAATTTCCATCTTCATTTTGGTTTCCACAAAGGAAGCTTCTTGTAACTTGCTACGTCGACGACATTCTGTGCTCAGGGCCGTCGTCAGAACAAAACAAGTTTTGGCAGGAGATCGAAAAGCATTTGGAGATCGAACCTCCAACTCAAGTTGAACGTGTGCTGGGCAGACAGCATAAATTCGATCGGACCAACGGATCGACCAAGGTTTCGCTCGAAATGTTCGATTTCATCGAGAACGCATGTGCAGTGTATGAGGACTTGGCTCAATGTAAGTTGAGCACAGCTAAAAGTCCTTTCTGCCCAGAAGGTAGCCTTACAACCGCTGACTTTGAAAGTAAAGGGGTTTTGGCAACTTCTGCATGCAAAATCTTGATGAAAATCCTCTGGTGCGCTAGGCTAAGCCGACCCGACCTAATGAAAGGGATAGGGGATTTGACACGTAGGATTACCACTTGGAGTCGAGCAGATGATAAACGGCTCCATAGCTCAAGCTGTGCTTGTACACAGATGCGGACCACTGTAGTGGCATCGAACATACAAAAAGCACGAGTGGCATGTTCTTGTCCATTGAGGGCCCTAACACCTTGTGGCCAATCGCGTGGGGCAGTAAACGCCAAACCGCGACTGCCAGGAGCACAACAGCAGCAGAGATGATCTCACTAGGATCAGGCCTTTTCGGCGAAGCACTGCCAGCACAAGGCTTCCTGGAATTGATCTTGGACCGTCAGGTCACGCTAGAGTGCTTTCAGGACAACTCAGCTGTAATCCAGATCGTGGCTGCAGGTTATAGCCCCAAATTGCGACACCTCACGAAGACGGAGAAGATCGAACTAGGTTCAGCTTATGAGGTCTTCGAAGATCCAAGTTGCAGACTCCTGTACATAGCAACGGACAAGCAGAGAGCAGATGTGTTTACAAAACCATTGCCGGTGTGCAAGTGGGACCATGCACTAGACCTACTTAACATGGCATCCTTAAGCTCAACTTGCAAAGTGCCATCTCGTGAAGCGGAAACGCTCCGAGACCCGTAGGCGTAGGCCAGATAGTTAAATAACTAAACTGGAGTCTGCGTAGGACACTTTCCGAGTGTGAGAAGGGGGAGAAGAATGCCCCCTGCTGGAATCCACATTTTCCTGATGGTAGGTGGCGCATGCATGTCTAATTCAACCTTGCCCCCGGAATTCATGTTTGCTTGAACTTCCCTTTGAATCAGGTTTCCAGGGTTGACACTGATAACAAACATTCAGTTCGCCTTGGATGACTTGTACATTTGGCTCAAGATAAAAGGAGGGTCGCGCGAGTGAAGCTTTCTGTGCCGCCATTGCACTTTTTGGTTACACTCTTCACTTCATTTGTCTTGATTCGTATTTCGTCTGAGGGCCCCTAGAGTGATAGCTACGTGAGAGGGATGTGTCGAGCCTGGGAGCTCTGACTCTGGGATACATCTCGATTTCCCAGTCCTGGAAGACACAGAGTTCAAGCAGCTTCTGGCTTAGGAAGTGAAACAAAACTGCTGATATTCCCTGCCGCAGGTATGATCTTTGCTCATTTTTCGGCGGCCTGTCGGCAGCGCCTCCTCCCACTGGATGGCGTAAACGCAAGGACTTGGACGTCTACGACCAACTCATGTACATGAGGAATAGAAGGCCGGAGCCTTTAATGAGTTCTCTGTCCGGTTTTGACCTCGCGTTTGGGCAAATCGGGGACTCTTGGATAGATAGTTGAAAGGGCAGAAGGTGGCCCTGCGAAAGACCTGGACATGCCATGGGCAAGTTAAGGGCTGCCTGCAACAGGTTGGCTAAGCGGCGAAGCACTGAGTAAACCTGTGTGAACTTGGGGCCACTTTGATTGATCAACAACGCAGGTGCTGGGGAAGGTGACATTTAGACAATGACTCCTGGGGCCAACTCCATTGCCATGCTGTAAAGCCACTAGAACTTGAGAACAGCATTGCTAACCCGTGGTCCGCTGGGCGCGGATCACTCAATGCGCCTCTTCCTACTCCATGTGGCCATGGTTCAAAACCAATGTACCATTTTGGGATAGGTGCACCACCCATTTTAGTTTATTTTAGGTGGGATTGGGATGTTCACTGGGGGTACGGGGTTTTGACCCATGGCCATGTCTTTCTATCACAAGCCGAGAGTGTTCCTTCAGCACACTTCTTCCAAATGGTTGAGGCTTCCGGAAACCTGTCTCCACCGCCCACAACGGGGGGTGGGGCCCCTGCGTTATTCGTTCATGTTCCTGTGTTTCAAGGGTCAGAAAGACTCCAGGGTTATATGTCGCCAACTGAGTTGAATCAGCATCAAATGAGCGAGGCTCAATCCTTCAATTTAGGATCTCCACAAGAAACCCGTTGAACCCAACTGGCGGGTTCTTTCCATTCCAGGCCCGATCCCTGTGCAAGTGTGAGATCTCTTGCCCCGATTGTGATACCTTTGGCGCCAGAAGCGCGTCGGGTCAAAAGACTCGTTAGGTCGAGATTCTTCAACTATTTCTTCTCCGTGGCCCGCGACGACATGACCTACTGGGTGAATCGCAGTGTGCCCTGGTTCCTGGCTTTCCGGCTAATGCTGATTTGGTGCCCGCTGGACCTGGCAATGATCCGCAGCAGCAGGTGTTCTTTGTGAGTTTGCTTTGTGCTAATGGCGGGCTGCTTCGTATTTGTCCTTCCTCTATCAAGTCAAAGCCAACGAAATGATGGAGCCACAGAAGCAGATTTGCGACCCAATTTTGCCTTCTAAGCACATTCTGCCAGTTCTGGACGACCCTTGTCCGCAAGGATCTTCCGGAGCCTCCTCAGCCCATTTCTGGGCTCCACCATTGCGGCACAGCAGCCACTCGGTTGCTCAGTTGGCCGACCAGTTGCTTCGTTTGCGAGGTGTTGCATTTGGGCAAACTAAAGGGTTTCCTTTGTGCCGAGCACATGGGCGGAGTGTGGCAACAAGATGGGGGGATGGGTCCCATTTGTTGTGATCGTTACAGTCAGAATGAAACAAATGTCTGAGGCGGTCCTGAACCTCCCGATACATTCCCAAGTTGTGTTCATGTTTTCTTCGACCATGTGGGGACGCCTTGTTGGAGGGAGGATGTCAGCCCAGCCTTCCCCTTTGCAAACAAAGCAGAACGTTAAGGACACGTGCTTCCATGGTTTGTTGGGCCACATGTGGGCTATCTACGTATTGTTGATGGAACGGTTGCCCTAAGAGTCAAGGATCCTCTGAACAACTTGTTTTCAGCGTTTTGGGATCTTCAGGCCAGGTTGATGGGTCCATTGGAGGGGGTGACCCTTTGCAACTGGCAAAGCCAAACTCACTCCCGACACCCATGCTCTTTTTGTTGGCGTCTTGAGCAGGCTGAGCGAGACCCATCCGCAAGCAGATTGCTCTAAATTACACATGTATTTTCTTCTCTTTTCACAGGAGCTCTTCTGAAAATGCTAGCTTGGGCCAAAGGAAACCAAAGTTCCCAACAAGCATGCATCCTGTAACACATCCCCGTATCCTTCCGTATATCCCTCCGCGGGTGCCTTCTGCTCGCGTGCCTGTGACTCGAGGCAGTGGTTTGGCGCTTCGGTGTCTTCGATGGTTCTGGGCGACGCCACCGTGGGTGCCTTGGGCCTGGGATCCGGCGCCTTCGTCTACACGGTGCTGGGGCTGCTTCCCTTCTCCGATGCGCTGGACACGCTGCTCTTCTACGGTCCCTCGTCATTACCTTCGGATCTTCGGATTGTTCTCGGATCATCTTCGGCTTTGTTGCTTCATTGCTTTGCTTCATTGCTTTGCTTCATGTTCCGTGATCGCCAAATTTGCATACCGTTGGCCTTTCGGTCCTGGGGACCCATGAGGGGGGATGAGGGGGGAGGCTCAAGTGTACCGCTAGTTTGTTCTTGTGCGTTCTTGGGGAATGTGCCTGTGTGTCGTGAGAACATAGATATCCTAATTGGCTGGTTTCATTTTGATGTCCTCTAAAAGGCATCCCAAAGGGGTCCCTGCTTTCGGCACTGTGAAAACACGGCCATGTTGCCCATGAGAAATATAAAGGACGGGTCCGCTTCAGCGCATTGACGAGGGTTCCTTTTGGTGGGAACGCACGCCATGTTTTTGAGTCCCGGAACGCCGGGTGTGGGCTCCCAAATCAGATCATACAGCTCACTATGGGGATGTTTTGCCAACCAACATCAGAATGCCCGGAGCAACCTCCCCAACGAGAAGTCATTTCGAGGTCGACTGCTGGGGCAGTTGTGTGGCGAAAGAATGCATCAAGTGAGGTATTCTGGGCTTCCTGATCTCGGTTGCTGGCCTTCTCGGCTTCCTTTTTGTGATTACCTCCCAGCAGCGCAAATACTACAAAGACTTTGAGCCCAGCGAAGTTGTAGGGCCGTGCCCCGACCACGACAAGTGCCCGTGCTTGTCGGTGGCATTCTTCCAGAAAGACTAAAACGGGCTGGAGTTTTCCTTTTGAGGATGCTTCGTGGATGCATAAGCTCCTGGAAGTTGTACGTTAAAGTAGTGCAGAAAGTCTACCCTAGACTACGTAGGCAACTGGCAGATCAGGGACAGCTTGTCCAAGATGGCCGGCATTGAGCCGCAACCCATCAATCGATTCGATCCTGAAAGCGGAGCAAAGACGCCAAGAGAGGCAGCGGCTAGTCAGAGCTTGGCTTAGCTTGTTCGGCCATTGCATGCCACGCGAGTTTGGCTTCAGCTTTTGTGGCTTTGTACCATACCGAAACAGCACTCCAGCCAATGTCGCCTCCCAAGAGCTTGCTCATGCTGATGGTGGTCCTTTGCGGTGTGGAGGGGTCTGTCTTGCAAGATCCTGATCTCCTGCGCGCCTACTCGGCAATCCGGTCCTTACAAGTGCTGGGAGATGGGGCCAACACCACTGGTCAGGCAGGGGAGACATTGTGACGAGAGCCAGATGTCCAGTGCCCTTTAGAGAAGCATGGCAAAAGACCAACACGAGTCCTGTTAGACGTAAAATGTGTCGCGCGCGCTCGTTTCACAAGTGTCTATGCTAGTTGGTCCAAGTTTTGCAAATTTAGTTAGAACAAATAGGAGAACATAAACGGGAAGGTGGTCGTTTTTGAACGCGTGTTTTGGCTCGTTTTTGAACGCGTGTTTTGGCTCGTTTTTGAACGCGGTTTTGCTCAAGTGTGTGTGATTTACAGCAGCACGGCCATTTTTTCCAAGTGTCCATGCACACCACGATGAGGCGCACGAACACGCACCACGATGCACGTGTAGCACAGGGATGGCGCCGTTCTTTTGGGAGACAATCGTCAACTGTAGACCCGGGAAAGCAAAGCACAAGGAACGCAAAGCGACATCATCATCATCATCACCACCATCATCACCACCATCATCACCATCACCATCACCATCAACATCATTCATGACTACCAGCAACATCACCATCATCAACACCAACGCCAACATCATCATCACCATCATCAACATCACCACCAACATCTTCATCATCACCATCATCATCAAACATCATCACCAACATCATCATCATGAACAACATCATCACCATTATCAACATCAACGTCGACATCACCATAATCATCGACATCATCAAAGTCATCGCCATCGACATCCTCATCACCATCATCATCAATCTCATCACCGTCATCATCATCATCACCATCAACAACAACAACATCGTCATCATCATCATCATCATCATCATCATCATCATCATCATCATTATCATCATCATCATCATTATCATCATCATCATCATGACCAGCATCATCATCATCGTCATCATCATCACTACCAACAACGCCACCATCACCACCAGCGCGCAGTCGCACGGTCACGCAGTAAAAGGCGAACGTAACTGCCCCGCCCCATCCCCCTCAGCCCCAGGACGCAGTCGCACGGTCACGCAGCAAGAAGCTTTTAACTGCCCCACCCCACCCCCCCAGCCCCAAAACGCAGTTGCGCCGCCACGCAGTAAGCGGCGATCGCAATTCCAGGAGGCTCCGATTCGCAAGTTACTTAGGCCGTATGAGCTAAGGATGTTCTTTGTGTCGCGAGGACAAGATAACTCAGAGCTTGAAATTTCACGAGTTTTCACGGCTTTTTCACGGAGTAGTAACGGCCTTTCAGTTTCCCGCGTGAATTTTTACGGCCGTTAGGCCGAGTTTTCACGGCTTTACGGGGGCCAACGAGCGCAAGTCGCCGAGGACATCTTAGCTCAGAAAGCCAAGGTAAGGACTCGGAGCCTCCTGGTTGCCCCGTCCCCCAGCCCCAGGGCGCAGTTGCACGGGCACGCAGTAAGAGGCGAACGTAACTGCACCCCAGGACGCAGTGGCACGGTCACGCAGTAAGAGGCGAACGTAACTGCCCCACCCCACCCCCCACCCCACCCCCTACCCCACCCCACGGGTGCCGCAGGATAGCCCCCCTCATGTGTTCGAAAATGACCCACTCTGTGTTCGAAAATGATCCAGGACATCGGTGTTCGAAAATGATCCAAAATCGGTGTTCGAAAATGATCCCCCTCCCTCAAACATAAACCACGCCCTAATCCTGGTACCTTTTGTCCTAATTTGTCAACGGCTTCCAGTTTTCTGATTAGTCGGGAAACAATAGAAAATAGAAGACATGGCCCTCACATTTCCAGTGCTTTCTAGTTTGTCTAATCAAGTTAAAATGACAATCAATGGACATGTGCCCCTGAAAGAGTAGTCGAGGGGCATGCCTAGCAATAAATTGCTTTCATCCATACACCCCACCCTACAACTTTTTTCATCTTCCATCTTCTACCCTTATTTGTTTTCATCATTTTTCTACATTCCTTTCTGTCCATCTCATCCGTTTTTTTCTCATCATTTTTCCAATTTTTTCGCCATCCTTTTATCCTTCCTCCTCGCCTCATTCATTTCACCAACTACCCCTCAAAATGTCATTTCCTCAATCTCCTCGCCTCATCCATTTCAGTATTTTTTTGCAAAATATATTGCAAAACATATTTGTCATAAAAAAAATCGAACTGTCTAAAAACGATTTGTCCATTTCCCGGACAAAAAATAGAACAGCAACAACATCACCTTCCCTCGGTTCATCAGTTTCATCATATATTTTAATAGGCGTGGTGTCCCTTGTAGGTTTTTTTCAATATATAAAACGCTATACCTACATTATAGCTTATACCATATAAGGGTATAAATGTTACAATCATAGTATGGTTTTAATCATTATGGGTTAAAATGATAGCCAGGCAATATGTTTTCAAATATGTAATCTATATATTTATCTATATGATCTTTATATATATATATGATATTGTATTTGCCAATTATAGCATAACTGTATTCCCAACAGAATAAATACAACAATGGACATACTTTGTATTTAGTGTTGTAGTAATACCTTATATTCTATTTTTAGTTGCTCTAAATATTTTCAAGACCTCGTTTATTTTATCTATTTTATCTTTGTTTAATAAATGCCAGTCAATCCATGCAAACAAATAACGTTTTTTTTTGACAAATGCTTTATATGGTTTAATTCTTAGTTCTCCTCCAAACCTCTTAATTAAATCTTCGTTGCTAAAGAATTTGTCAATTTATTCTTTCAACTGACTTTCTTTGAAACTGTATAGGAAATCTTGTTTGGTATTGCATAAAGAACTTTAATTGTAATTGAAACTTTGTATATCCTTTATCCTTATGTTCTTCAACAAATCCCTTTTCTAGGTCTCTTGTTATACAGCATTGATTGCAAAATACATTATACTAACTTATTTTATTACATAGATTGGCGGGTAATAACTTATACAATGTTGTATTAACATCGTTCCTTTTAGTTTTACAACATTCGCACTTTGAATAATTAAATAACATTTCCACTATAATATATATAGTTTGTATTTCTTTAAATACATTTTTACAAGAAATAAGATTAAATTATAGCATATAATATTTTACATGTTATTATTATAGTATGATTATAATTTCAGTTCAGGATAACTATTTAATTGATACATCTTACTTCTTTCATACATCATCTTAACATAACATTAACATCTCTCACTGTGTTTTTAACATTAAACTTTTTACTTTCAATATATGATTTAATGTCTTCTTTTACATCACACCCTTCTCTTCTACGATATAACAACATCCATACTATGTGGTCAATCATTTCATATTTTTCATTATTGATTTTAAGAAACTGTTTAACATAATCGTAAGGTGGGATTTCGTAAACATTTAGGAATATTAAAATATCGTCTTCAAAATTTCTATTATTTCTTCTCTTTCTTGTCAACGCACACTTGATTATAGCTTGAGTATCTCTCCACCACCTACCACGACCGAACCTACGCTCGAACCTAAGACCGAGCCTAGCTCGACCTCTGGATCGCGAGGTACAAACGGCCACAACCCTGCCGAGCCATTGGCAGAACCCGAACCAGCTTCATCTCCTCCACACGGACCTCAAGACCCGACAACAACCACATCTCGCGGCCAACAACGGATGGGGCACCTTCACGGAGGACATCTCCACCGCATTTCTCCAAGGACGCGAACATGCTCCTCACCGCACCTTGTGGATTCGACTTCCGGCTGACGCACGGAACATCCTCGGCGTCACCAACTCGCGCATCTTGATGCGACTCCGGAAGCCCATGTACGGCCTGGTTGATGCCTTCGCCCTCTACGACGACTGCAACCCTGAGACCTCAACTCCACCTCAGCTCCTGGCCATCATCGGTCTCCATGTTGATGACCTACTTGGCACCGCCGACAAAAGCCATCCCAAGGTCACGAAGATGATCGAGGAACTCAAGAACATCTTCACCTTCAGGGAATGGAAGGAAGGCCCAAGCCTTGAATACTGCGGCGCCACCCTGGAGGCCACCGACGGCGGCTGGAAACTACATCACAAGGAGTACCTCAAGAAGGTCAAGCCCATCACCGTCGGCAAGGACCGACAACCACATCAGCAAGTGACGGACAAGGAGAGAAACCTTCTCCGATCTCTCCTTGGAGCCCTACAATGGCCAGCAGTGCAAAGCTCACCACATCTACAAATCCACACCTCAATGTTCTCCGGCGAGATCACCACTGCCACCATTGAGACTATCCACAACACCAACAAGGCCCTCCGTTACGCGAAGAGCAATGATGACGTTGGCCTCACATTGCAGATTGTTGCCTGGTGGCATGGTCTGATGCAGCCTTTGCGTCCCGAAAAGATCACAGCTCGCAGGGAGGCTTCATCGTGGCCCTGATGCACAAGGACGCCATCGAGAAGGGCTTTGAGAGCGAGTACCACATTCTGGACTGGCGCTCATTTCGGTTGCTACGGGTTGCTCGCTCAACCTTGGCTGCCGAGAGCCAAGCCGCAGCTGAAGCGGCAGACGCCCTCACCTTTGTGGCGAGATACATCTCACTGCTCATGAACCCCAACCTCAAG